TTTATCACTTTATCTGTGCTGCTGATTATCCATGCTGCTGATTTCTTACCTTAAGATGCTGTATTCATACCCATCTTCTCACAAGAGACTCATGTTCAGGCTGCTGTTATTATATTACATTATTATTGCTTAGCATATATCTTAGATCCTTGTGTACCATTTCATTTTTATACTTTACATTTCTTCTATTTTTGGGTGTGACTGGGACCTTGAACACACAATTTTGTTCCACCTCATTTACCACATGTGATGCGAATGACAATAAAGTCACCTTGAACCTTGAATCTTAAACATTCCATATGAAATGGAAACATTGGGATAACCTAAAGTTTTAAACAAATATATTTTGGAAGAAATGAGTGATAAAACCTATTTATCCTCTTAAGCCCAAATTATAGTGCTTCAAAAGGGCAGCTGTGTGTGGCCCCAGGGAGGACATCAAAACTAGAAAACAGTGAAGAACCCTCTAGAATAAGAAGAAGCTGTTGTTGATGACTGGGACAGCTTTATCGTGTTTTAGCAAGCTTCCAAGCAGGATGCGGCCAAATTGTTAGCAACCGTTGCCAAAGCAATCAATAAGCTTTTCAAAGTGATTAGGTGGAATATCTGAGCTTCCACTAACCGAGGGACTTAAAAAGGACAAAAATCAGGCGTTTACTGTGTAGTTCCAAAGTAGCTAGAAATTCTTTGGGCTCTGAATGAAACAGTAATTTAGGTTGATTACACTGGAACTGAAAATGTATAAAAGTGTATTATTTAACTGTGGTGGATGTAGTCCAGAAAATGTTCATTTATAATCAATGCTAAGGCAAAAGCATAACATTAAAATGGCCCCAGACTCTATGCCCAGATTTACTGTACACTATCAGAAAAGGTGAATGACTGTATAATTACTTGTGTGCTTGTCTGTCTGTTAGCAAAATATCTCATGAACCATTCAGTAAATTCTAATGAAACCCACAAAAAGCAATCACTGGAAGTAAATCTATAGCTTATTAACTTTTGGAGTCAATCCGATTCAAAATGGCCACCACAGCTAATAGACTTTATCAATGAGTTAAATACTACAACACAATCAATTTATCAAGTATTAAGCTAATATTTGAGGAGATAGTAGCTGATAGTCTGATTACACAGTTTTTGTCCAAAACTTTCTGACACTGTCTGTCTTTTAGCAAAATATTTAATGATGCACTGAATTGATTTAAATGAAACCCTTATAGAGTCATCACTGGATGTAAATTTACAACTTTTGGAATCAATTTGATTCAAATGACGATAGCAAATCAACATCAACTAGCACAAAACTGGCTCTAACTCTCAAACACAGTCAATTTTACAGATATTGAGATAAAATTTGGTTTGATATTTTCTGTACGAGCCAGAGCTCTGAAGTCCTAGTTGAGCTTTTCTAATGAGTGAGGCAAGAAGTCTGCTATTCTTGTCCTGAACCACAGAGAAAAACACATTCTGTATCTTGTGGGCTCACAATATACAGATTATTTATTACTTTGCCATGCAATATTCACCTGTTGCTATGACTTGTTTATTTCATTCCTAAATTTTAACCTGGCGCCACAGAAAAAAAAAACCATCTCGTTTTAACATCTTGGGATTATGTGGCCATGCAATAAAATATTTTCTAGCGGGCTCAGTGGAAAATATCATTTTCTTAGGGATAGTTTTAAAATCTTTGAATCCTAACATGGTTTTGATCATTCTTTCTAAAAATAAGCTTCCCCCCCAAATATATTACGATTATCAGAGTCAGAGTCAGAGTTTCTTTATTGTCATTCGCACCTCATGTGGTACATGTGGTGGAGCGAAATTATGTACACAGGGTTCCAGTTACATCCAACAATAAAATGTATAGGAAAAACAGTAATAACATCTAAGATATGAACTAAGGAAAACATCAACTAAATATACACTAAGCACTCATAACATAAAAACATTGAACATCAGCACAAACATGAACATGAGTCTGTGTGAGCAGATGAGCATGCATGAACACATCAACATTGAAACAGATCAGCAGCAACATGAAACAGATCAGCAGCAACATGATGTGATTTATCACAGTGATTATTCTAGTTAGAGATCCATGAGTCTAACAGCCTCAGGGTAGAAGCTGTTCCTCAGTCTAGTGGTTCTACACTTAATGCTCCTCAACCTTCTTCCTGAGGGGAGTGGGGCAAAAAGTGTGTGTGCTGGGTGAGTGGGGTCCTTCATGATGCAGGTGGCCCTCTTCCTGCATCTAGAGGTGTAGATGACTGTGATGGTGGGGAGGCTGACTCCGACAGACTTCTGTGCAGCCTTCACCACTCGCTGCAAAGCTTTTCTTTCTGCAGCTGTGCAGCCTCCATGCCACACATTGATGCTGGAGCACAGGATGCTCTCCACTGCACACCTGTAGAAGGAGGTGAGGACTGAGCTTCCCAGACCAGCTCGTCTCAGCTGTCTGAGGAAGTAGAGTCTCTGATGAGCTTTCTTGATCAGGCTGGTGGTGTTGTTGCTCCAGCTGAGGTTGTCATTCATGTGTACACCCAAGTACTTGTAGCTGGAGACCACTTCCACTGCAGATCCTCTTATGTTCAGGGGGGTGTAGGTGTGTTTGTTCCTTCTGAAATCCACAATCATCTCCTTTTTTTTCTTCACATTGATGTGAAGGTTATTCTCTTTGCACCAGCTCTCCAGGTGTTCCACCTCTTGCCTGTAGCTGGACTCATCACTGTTTGTGATGCATCCCACCACCGCTGTATCATCTGCAAATTTTACATTGTGACAGCCTGGATGGGTAGCTGCACAATCATATGTGAGCAGAGCAAACAGGAGGGGGCTCAACACACATCCGTGAGGAGAGCCAGTGCTGAGGGTTATGGTGGAGGAGAAGTTGCGGATCCTCACTAACTGTGGTCTGTTTGTTAAGTCTAGTACCCAGTTGCAAATGGAGGGGCTTAGTCCTAGTGTGGATAGTTTGTCCATCAGGGTTTGGGGGATCATGGTGTTGAAGGCGGATGTGAAGTCCACAAAGAGCATATGGACGGAAGAGTTAGATTATCAGCATTTTATAGAGAAAAATACAAACTATGACAAAACAAGGTTAGTTATATTAAACAGCAGTACAGAGAAGTAGAATTAAAGCAAATAGTATTTGGAAAAAAAATGCAGTGGAATAATTTTTTTAAGATGTTCTTAGCTGCAGTCGTTCAGTAAGCCCATCCGTACCGTGGACTCTTGTTTCTGCAGCTTCAAAGCCTGAGAGACACAAAAGGAGGTATCCAAGCTGTTTGATAAGCCCACATCTTTCAGGCTTACTGTCACACATGAAAGTACACACACGTGTACACACAGTTTAGGCCACTTGAGCTCTTGTGAGGTACAGGCTGTCTTGCCCACGACGCTGTATCAAAGGCAGAACAGCCTCTGTGGAAGATCTGAGGCTCAGCCTAACATGTGAGCAGCAGAAAATCCTGTTTGCTTATAGTTCTGAGCCAGAGGCGGGTGACTGTGATCATGCTGCTGTAAGTGGCCAGCCCAGGATTCTAGTAATAAACATACTATATGGAGCCGGTTAAAACATGTCTCAAATCTTCGATGATTTGAATAGCTATAGATTTATATTCATACCCAAATTATGCATAACCATTTAGAACAATTGTTGAATTGAACTAAGTGAAAACTTGCAATAATGCAGTCAAAGGAAGCACGTTATATAATGCAGAAACAAGAAATTGAGCTGGATGGGTTTGGTGCTGATTGGTTTGTGGAAATAAACATCCAGTCACAGACTTCTATAGGAAGACAGTTCAACAAGGAAACCAGCCCCATTCATGAACAGCTGAGCAGAGAGATCTGTCGTGGCATCCAGCTCTACATGTTGTTTTACAACTAATTTAACAATTGCTTTTATAAAAGCGCACGCTGTAGCATTAAAAAGAAATTCGTCCAGCATAATTCAGAATACACGGTTTCTTTTTTTGAGTTAATGTCATTTATAGTTAAAGAGTCATTTCTGGGATTTAATTTGCTGCAAGATACAAATTTTCATAAAAGGAATACATCTGATGGAGAGTCAGCAGGTGGTCTACAAATTGCAGAGGAGAGTAGGAAATACACAGTGAAAGCCAGAGAACACAGCTTGGCACAGATTTTGCATCCTAATTGACTGTAGAGAGGACACAGCTGGGAGACCAGACCTAATCAGAAGTGCTTCTAAAAATAATGAAACCCTGTTCAATGTGCAATATATTAAATATTTATCAAAAACTTTTGATTGTGTAGGGTGTCACTTAAATTTTTTTAAAAGAAATTTTGTATGAAAACGACTCTGATGCTATAAAAGTACAGGTTGCATAATTGATCCTAAGAATTTGCTTGGATGTTCCCATTTTGCAGGTTAAATTGTATTATGAAAGGGGATAAAACGTAAAAAGACAAAGTATAGCGCAAATCTTATTGGTCACAGAGAGCTTCTTGGAAGTGCTGCCATCTTAAGCAGCAGTTTTTGCATTACACAAGTGAAATCGTTGAACATCATCTCTAAGGTTTGCAGTTCTCTCGAAAGGCAATCATAATTTAGTCTCTACAAATGTTCAGCATCATCTTTGCACTGGATTCAACTGACCTTATTCTTGATGTTAAACAAGACTGGCTTTTGTTTGTGAGAAATTGTTACTTTTTCAGGAGTCCCCCCCCTTTTTACTTCCATGCAGCTGACAGTGTCATTTTCGGCAGCTGCCACATAAAACTACAGCTTTTTCCACACAGGCTCCTGAAAGACTCATTTGGAGCAGTTACTGAATGGCTCTCGTCTCTCTACAGCAGTAATTGGTGAAATTTGATTCATTTTATCCAAATGAATCTACATGGCAACGTGATGAAACGTCATTTAGCATGGGACCCCTGAGACATTCTTATTCACCACTAAACAAAAACAGCCAAGCAAACTTGAAGAAACGAAGAAAAATGGTGTTTGTAGGTTTTTTTGTTACTCTCACCTCTGGTGTGAGAGCGTTGTTGTCTGTGGTTTGGCTGGAAAGCAGGACGTGCGTAAAGCCCTCTTCCTTTCGGACCACGATGTCTCTGAATCGACAGTTGCTCTCGTTCTGTCGCACGTTGTACCTGAGCCGCTTGTCAAACACATAGCACTTCTCCTCAGCCAGCTTCCTCTTTACCGAGCTGTGAAGATGCATCTTGCCATTGGCTAGCGGGGAGCCTGACAGAAATGAGGGGCGACAGAACAGCATGTCAACTATTATTTGTTTAAAATTTTCTTTAAGATAATTACAAACGACTGACAACTGGTAAAACGTGCATAAAGCCTGACAGAAAAAATGAAAATCTCCCAATTTATTTCGGAAATATTTCGTACACGTTCATTTCTATTGCAACTTGGCCTGATTTTGCATTGGAAACTATGATTAGTAATATAAAAAAATTTAAAAAAAAAAAAAAAAAACTCATTTGATCAAAACACTATAATAAGAACTTTATTTTACAAACAACAATTTTCTTCTTAAAATAGTCTATGTAGGATAGTTAAAAGAAAAAAGAATGCACATCGAGGGTGAAACAGGAAGTAGTTTTGTAGCTTTAACCCACATTTGGGGGTAGCTGTGGCTGAGTGGTTAGAGCAGTCGTCCTCAAATGCAAGAGTTGGGGGTTCAATTCCACCAGCAGTCACATGCCAAAGTGTCCCTGGGCAAAACACTGAACTCCTCATTGCCTCCAATGTGTGTTCCATCAGTGTATGAATGTGATAAAGCACTGATTATTATTAGATCTAGTAGAGTACTGTATGACTGGGTAAATGAGGGCACAGATTGTAGTGTAAAGCACTTTAAGTATCTTGATAAGATAGAAAAGTGATAAGTGCAGTCCATTTACCATTTTCACTTAGTTTGCAAAATTATTATCAAAACGAGCAGTGACATGCATGTTTTTAATAACTATACAACCTGACTGACTTGTTTTTATGCCTCTACAAAGTAATGAATGTGTATTGATTTATGGAATCAGGATATTAGATTTTAGAGTGTACAGTGTCACAGACCATCAGACAAAAAAAAAGCTGCTTTTTTTGTGATAAAACATTTCTGTGCTGTCAGAAACTTGAACTATTAGATCAATTTTGCGTTCATCCAAGCAAAACATCTAATGTTAAACAAAATCCTCTTATCTTATATTCAACTTCTTTTCAGACATACTTTGAATTTCTTGAAATTCCTCTCAGTTTTTTTTTTTTTAAAAGACAAAATAATTCCGTCTTTTTCTACCAAGTGCTTGGTGCTTACTCTACAAGCAACATCAACTAAATAATCAGGCTCATGCTTGTCAGTATCAAATATTACCCTTACTATAGTTGTGAAATTTAGTAATTTCTGCCTTTCAGGGCTGAGGGATGAGACTTAAACCGAACATGATGTCCAACACGGAGTGTTCTGAATAATTTCTGAACACAAAGCACAGTGCATGTGCATCATCTGAGGGCATTTTCTCTGCTGGATATTTGAGCTTTCGCTGTGACGTGAGGCTGAGTGAATTTCAACTTGATTGCATTAATATTCAGACCTTGAGAAGATTTAACACACCATAGCTGAATTACCTCGCTATGTCAGGTTTCAAATTCGAAAACTGTATTAACTACTATTTATTCATATGGTGTTTATGTTGAATTGATTTAATATCTTATTTAATTCAGTTAATTTTATTTGCATTAATTACCGATAAATGATTTCTCTCAAAGCGCAACCTCGGCTGTGGACTTTTATTACATGAGAGGAAAAAATGGAATAAAAAGAAGTTATACAACGGGCAAGTCGTTCTTATTCGAGAACATCTTGACACACTGTGGGTGCTATTACTCAAAGAAACCACAGTTTTCTGAGCACAACCTGTGCTTTGATGCTTTTACAGTCAGTACACTGAAGGATGAAATTAAATTTCAATCAAATTAGATTTTTAATGGACATTAGATTAATTTGAATTCTGCAGTGTTTCCTTGATGTATTGCATGCAAATATTAATTTGAGCTTGTAAATAGTAAAAAATAAAAATTAAAACTAACTATTAGAAAAGAAAAAGATGTAACACTGATGTCAGACAGGGAGAGATAAGAACTGTCCTGAAATACTATCCTAATAGAAACCATGTTTCTAAAAACAAAAGGCCAACATCACTGTTGTTACTGCTTTAGAGGGTCAAGAATGAGTCCAATCTTACTCATACAGCTGATAGACTCCACCATGTCATTGTATATTAAACTCAAAACATAGCCAAAGTAAAGAAGCAGTTTGTGAAAACCTGAGTACACCACATGTGTAAGATTGGTGCTTTCTGTGATCACCCTGCATCTGCACTCCCCAGTCTCTCTCCCTGTTAATTACCCTGATCTGATCCACCTGTGTGTCCTGTCCAGGTGAGTGGGGTTGACTCATTAGTCTGTGTATAAGTCTGTGTCTGTGTGCTATTTGTTGTCTGGACATCGTCTGGTAATCCCTTCTGAGTCCCTGGTGTTTTCCTACGTGTTCCTAGTGCTTCTTCATGGTTCCTGGATCTGAGTGAGTTTTGTTGCCACATCAGCTTGTCTATTTTGTGTTTAATTAATGTGGTTCTTATTTTAGTCTCTGGGTCACTGAGTCCTGCCTGCATCATTGGGTTTTGTCTCCAAAAACCACCGCCTTATGACAACATGGTTCAAAAGCTTTAGAACCTCTTTTAGTTGCAATAACTTGAAGTAGTCATCCTCTGCATGACTTTAACAGTCGCTCACATTAATGTGTGAGGGGTTTTGTTCCACTTGTTTCAACGTTGCTACAGTTCATTAAGCTTTGCAGACATGCGTTTATGCACAACTCTTTGCAGGTTTCATCACAGCATTTAAGCTGGGATGAGGTATGGACTATGACTGGACCATTTCAACACCCTTTTAGACATTGTGTTGTAGATTTGCTCCCGTATTTGGAATCATCATACTGCCGCATGATCCAGTTTTGGCCAAGTTTTAGTTGTTGGACATATGGTCCAATATTTGACTCTTTAACATGATACTGAATGTCCAGAGCAGTGGTGTAGAGGTTAAATAATGCAAGAGAATGCTGAATAAGATTTGACACATTCTTGTTAATAAACGCCAACCAAATATTTACAATATGATACTGATCACCTGCTGCAGAAAGCTTTGAGTCAAGCTGAAGTTGCTGTGTGAGCTGAGTGGAGTAGGCCTTTTAGGATTAGATTAGGATTCATAATCGCTGCCAGAGTAATCACTATTAGACTGGCTCAAACCTTCACCAGCCAAGTTATAGTGCTACATGATTGAACAGGTGACAGACTAAATGTTTAAACATTTTAACAGGAATGGGTCCAAGTTTACATTTAGAAAAACGGGGGCGGGGATGATCACAAAAGTGTAATTCAGAGTTGTGGCGAATTATGAAATCGGCAACAAAGGGACATTATTGTTCACATACCTGTTAAAGACTTGTAAACGTTAACAAAAAATGTTAAATTGTGTCATCTGGACCAGTTTCTTTAAGTGAGAAACATTTTTGTTTCGACTTCCTCTGATTACTCAACTGCTGCAAGGCAACAACGAGAAGAAGAGTACATGGCAGTGTGCGAGAGAGCGCACAGTCATGTGTAACTTGAGGATGAGATGCAGGCGAGTAGGCCAATGCTAGCTTGTTAGCAGTAGCAAATCTCAAAATGTTCTCTTGAACAATAGATCTTATTAGATAATCAATTACTTCAGTTATAAAAACAACTACTCCTTTCGGCTTTTCCCTCTTCAGGGATCGCCACAGCGAGTCATCCTCTGCAGCCTCTGTTCTCACTCCAACTACCTTCATATCCTCTAACTGCATCCATATATCTTCTCTTTAGCCTTCCTCTTTGTCTTTTTATTGGCAGCTGCATTTCTAACATCCTTCTACCAATATACCCACGGTCCCTCCTCTTGACATGTCCAAACCATCTCAGTCTGGCCTCCCTAACTTTATCTCCCAGTTGTTGAACCTGTGCTGTACTTCTGATTATCTCACTCCTAATCTTATCCATCCTCGTCACTCCTAAAGAGAACCTTAGCATCTTCATTTCTGCCACTTCCAGTTCTTTCTCTTGTATTTTTGTCAACAGACCATACAATATAGCTGGTCTCACCACTGTCTTGTAAACTTTTCCTTTGAACTTTGCTGACACCCTTTTGTCACAAATCACTCCTGAAACTTCTCCATCCACTCAATCCTGCATGGATTATCTTTTTCACTTCTTTACCACATTCCCCATTTTCCTGGACAGTGGACCCCAAGTACTTGAAGTCCTGCACCTTTTTGACCTCTGCTCCTTGTAGCCTCACTGTTCCACCAGCCTCCCCCTCATTTACACACGTACTCAGTCTTACTACGGCTGACTTTCATTCCTCTTCTTTCAGGTGCACACCTCCACATCTCCAAGTTCTCTTCCACCTGTTCCCTGTTCTCACCACAGATCACAATGTCATCTGCAAACATCATCGTCCATGGGGATTCTTGCCTGACCTCATCTGTTAGTCGGTCCATCACCAGAGCAAACAAGAAGGGGCTCAGAGCCGATCCTTGATGCAACCCACCTCTTGTGTGGTTGCATATAAGTTTATATAGGTATATATAATAATATTGCACCGTGTGTGTGTTTTGCAGGAATTGGCTCTTCTGTAATTGTACAGCCATAGACCCTCTGTTTGGAGAGACAGGTTACTGATCAAAGGAGGGCTGTTTTGAGTTAACACTTATCTAACTGTAAAGTATTTCTAATGGGCATAGTTTATTCACAGACAATTCACTTTTGATTGGACACAAAACAATAGAGCATTTTTTGTATGATAAGTGCCATTCACAACCCAAATTAATTGATTTGTCAGACAAACCCCCTCATCCAAATCTAACAGGAAATAGGGGATTATTTCTTGGATGAATGCTGCTTCATCATGCCATGTCAAAATGTACCAAGGCTGTTTTGGTATGCAGTGGGCCCTACTTCTCTCTTAAACCCTTTGAAAAATACAGAAAAAAAAAGAAATACAATTATCTGTGCATTCTCTCAACATAATTCAATATTCCATATATTATAAAATGTGGCAATTGTAAAACTTAGCACCCAGGAAAAAGAGAACTGGCATTCTTGATAGAAAAATGGACCATCACTACACTGCCATAATCCAACACAAGTTGCATTTAAATTATCAAAAAGGCAGCCACTTAATGTTTTCTAATAATAATTTCAAGATGACTTGTTCATAACAAAGGTAATGATTAATCATTTTGGTTCATACTCTGGACTGTGACCCAAGAGTGACATTTGAATGTGATTATCAGTTCTCTTGAAAAGATCATCCATTAGAGATTTTACAAGCTACATTGTCACACCACACCTCTCCATAATATAAATGTAAAAGTGCTAAAATAGACTGCATTTCATTACTAATACACTAAAACTATAATTTATATCCTGATGCCTGATCAATAATCCAGGTAGATAAATCTAACAAGATTGAGTCAAGTTTTCTGGACAGATTCTTATTTGTTGAAATATTTCATCTTTTATCCAAAAGACTTCTTCAGTCTGAGGAGACTGTTTTGGCTGTCACCACCAGCAATAATAATAATAATAATGATGATAATAATAAAGATTTTAACAAAGAAAAATCTGTCCAGGGGACTTGACTCAACCTTGTCAGATATATAATTTATACCTTTAAAAGAGAGATGACGGCCCCTTCAACCTAGATGACAATTTCCTTATGTTCCAACTTGTGTGTGGCTGGTTCATGGGAAATTTAGAATACATTATTTTACATGTCCATCCTGGCATGACTCTCAGGTGGCAGCTTCAGATATTATTTCTGCATTAGGTTGCTTCAATGACCTTGTCACGATCATGGTTATAGCCTAGGCAAGAAGCTGGCATGGCCTTACATTTTGACAACCAAGCCATGCCAGTGTGAGCAAACACTGGATATGCTGCCAAAGCATGGTGATACTATGGTGATACACCACCACAGCTTTGCTTTGGATGCTTTTTACACACTCACTACCATTGTGAACTTATCTGTCACACATAATGAGGAGCCCACTGCATTTTTAATACATGCCTGAAACTCTTGCCAAGACCCTGCAAAGTCCCTCCATGATCTAGCTTTTTATTTTTTTCATAGCGGGGTTGTTATCTCTAGAGTGAAGGGAGCCTAAAATAACGGTCACTTTAAAACTATCACCATTAGGGGAAGGGGGGGCGGGGGACAAACATTGTAAGCCCCTATAAATTACTGATTTATTCCATTAAGACATGATCCAAGAGTTGGAAACTTTTAGAAATTTTACAATCTTACATTTGAAGGAACATGGCATTCCAGATCAACATTAAAATCAGATCCCAACTGTGAAACACAGTAAGTGTAAATTAAAGATGAAGGCTCCTTTGCTTTTTTTTTTAGTTGTGTAAGAAATATTCAAAATTAAGACATTTTGAAGACATGCTTAAGACATTTTACTGAGGAATATAGTTTGTAAACAGATACTTGAAAAAGAAGAAATTAAAAAGAAAAAACATGGATCTAACATGTTAAGTTTTGACCTAAAGTGCTGTAGTTTGACTTGAAATGCACATCCTATAAACAGTGACACATATGAAACAAGATTGGAGGAATGTATCCAGAATTATTCTCACTGTTGCCACTCATAAAAGCTGATCAAGAAATTTATGAAAATAACGGTTTTTTTTTTAATTAGGTATTGGTGATTTACTAGATTGTAAATTACAACGAATTGCATTCTAGTTTGTAGTATAAGTGATTACTCTGTAAGGTAAATACAGGCAAAAATCAGACAAAAGTATAATTTTTTTTTTTTTTTTTTTTTTTTTTTGGTGAAATAGTTTATCATATTACATTCAATTCATTTTAGTTTGTTTATATAGTGCCAAGTCACAACGTAGTCATCTCAGGGCACTGAACAAAAACTTTCAAATGTATAAAAGTAAGTTAACACTATTTATCCGAGGAGCAAACTATTTTGAATTTAACGCCATTGCAGAACTCATCTTGCGCTAGCAGGAAGGCAACAGCGGAAAGGAAAACTCTTTCAAGAGAAACCTTTAACAGAACCAGGCCTTAGGACAAGTGGCCATCTGCTTCGACCGGCTGGGTTTGAGAGGAACAGGAAGGAGGAACAGATACACAATGGCAGATCAAGAATCACATGTCAATGACAATCACAAGAAAGAAATAATATCAAATTAAAACCATTCAATTTTAGCAAATCTTTTAAGGAACTGAGGTCAATTTGTCCTCCAATTGTATAAGCCTATGGCAGCATAACAAGCCAACCCTATCTAAATAATTTATCACAAAGGGAAGTCTTAAGCCCAGTCTTAAAACTGGACAATGTGTCAGCCTCACAGACAGAAACTGGAAGTTGGTTCCACAAGAGAGGAGCCTGATAACTGAAAGATCTTCCTCCCATTCTGCTTTTGGAAACTCTAGGAACTGCAAGTAAACCTGCAGTTTGAGAGTGAAGTGCTCTGTTAGGAAAATATGGAACAATAAGATTTGTAATATAAGATGGAGCTAGGTTGTTGAGAGATTTGTAGGTTAGAAGTAAGATTTTGAATTAAATTCTGGCTTTGACAGGGAGCCAGTGGAAAGAAGCTAAAACTGGAGAGATATGATCTCTCCCACTAACTCCAGTTAAGACTCTGGCAGCAGCGTTTTTAATTAACATAATACTTTTTAAAGATTTTTTTTGGACCCAGATAACAAACCATTGCAATAGACCAGTCTAGACATGAAAAATGCAAGAACCAGTTTTTCTGACTCATTTTTAGATGAGGTTTCTAATTTTAGCGATATTACCTAAGTGGAGGAAGGCGGTTCTAGTAAGGTTTTTAACGTGGGGGTTAAAAGACGTCCTCATCAAAAATGACACCAAGATATTTAACACTGGAGCAGAAGGCCAGATTAATGCCATCCAAGGAGGGTGAAAGACTAAAAAAAATATTCTTAAGATGCTCAGGTCCAAAAACCTTAGTCTTGTTTGTATTCAAAAGTAGAATTTGGAAATTGTAAAAAAAATAAAAATGACAAACCTATAAGAATGGAGTATATAAAAGTCAGATAAAAAAACCCAGTCAAGATACGTAAATTTGAAACTAATAATAAATCAAACTTTTTTAGTTTAAGGCATTTTCCTTATTTTTGAATTATGTATTTCCATTGTATTATAAACATTGTCTACTGGTATATGTACAAATATTTGTTTTTGTTTCTAAACTCTTATTTGTGTTAGTTATCCTGTTTTAACATAATGTTTTTTTTTAAATACAGCATTACATTATATTTGTTCATAATTTGTATTCATTTCTGAACACCTTACCTAGTTCAGGGGTGAACTGTGGTCCAGTGGTCTCTTTGTGTCCTACTTCTGCTTCCACTCTATCTGAAGGCAGTCTAGGTGACCTTGCTGCTGCGCTGTATATGACAGGCTCCATCTCTCCATTCTGGAGTCCGTTATGAGGAACCCTCAATGGGGGAACAAAGTGAGGTCCACTTGCTGGATGAGCCTTATAAGTCATAGTTTTGCTCAGTCTGTCCCCTAAAACATGTTTCCCAGCTCCAACACCCACTTTCTTTTGTTTCTGTGTATGCATTGACCCTCCAATCCCTAAAACAGATCCTACTCTCACCCCCACAGGTGGGCCACTAGTCCTTTTCTTCTTTCGGGCCTCAGATCGAGGCCTAGAGTCTTCTGTCACAGAAGGTTGGTTGACACTGAGAGGCTCCCCGTGATGTTTTTGGACTTTAGGTCGTTTGTGTGAATGTTGTTTTGAGCTGTTGAACTGGTCAATGAATTCCTCACAGTGCAGCAGGTGGTACGCTGGTTCCCAGGTGTCCTCTTTACTTCCATAACCTTTCCATCTGATCAGGTACTCCCACTTACCCTTTTTGTTCCGCCTCTTGTCCACAATCCGCTCCACCTGAGGGTCACAAACAGAGGAAAACAACAGAGAAAAAACTGAGTCACTTTTTGAGATACAATATTCTGTCTCAGATTTATAATTTATATTAGAATAGTTCACTCTCTCTTGCACAGTGATGGCTGGACATGGGCACCAGTGACCCCTGCGACCCAAAAAGGAAGCAGTGGGTAAAAAATAATGGATTAGAATAGTGCACTTATATGATCAACTGAAGACACAAAATGCTGGTTCTCCCTGTGTGACTGAAACATTTTTTTGTTTTTTGATATGCAAAACGGTGCAGTGTGATAAAAAGAAAATCCACATATGTATTTTTTTTCCCAATATGTGACAAATTGTAAGTCAGTCACTCTTGAGAGTTTAATGATTATTACAGTTATTATTAAATACACTCAAATAACTGTCTGATAATATTATATTGTTTTTTTTTTTTCTAATAGAGAAAAAAAACAGTTACCGAAACACAAAAAAAAAACCTACCAAAAAAAAGAACGAATAGTTATTGTAAATTTTGTAAGGCTTTCATAATGGGCAGGAATGATTTCATGTAACAGTTGTTGATGCAACAAAACTAAGAAAGCCAAAGTTTGAGCTCAATGCATCTGTTGCTCTGTCTGAAGTGACTACTGACATTTGAGTACTGTATAGCGATGCTTATGTCAAGCAAGTCCTCAAGTCGGGGTAAAATATAACACTGTTTTCAGCTATTTCCTTGTCTTATTTGACAGAGATAAATTAAAACAAAGAATTTCTAAAACAAAACCATTCGATTTATGCCCACATTCTTACACTGTGTTTGAGTCATTGCAGAGAATGACAAAATCTTACAATATGCATTTTACAGCATCTGTCAAGTTCAAGATAAGGTCCAACTGTTCCAAGATAGATAAGTGACCAGAGTGGAGCAAAGACGAGATGAAGGCCACCTTCATAAAAAAAAGACTCCTAGACAAGCACTCTAAAGTCAAACCAAAAGTAAAAAAGCATTTTATGATTATATAAGACCAGCACAAACCTTAGAACAGTGGAAAACAATTTAACATAAGCACTTTATTATATACATATAAATGAATAAATATAATTATTTGCTAATTATTTACTAAGCTAAATAAATTCAAAATAAAGTAATTTTTTTCTGAAACAATTACACACACACATACAGAAAAATAAGTACAAACAAAGCTTAATTTAAGAATGTGTGTGTGTGTGTGTGTGTGTGTGTGTGTGTGTGTGTGTGTGTGTATTGATCGATCTATCTACATGTATGCTGTTTGTTTACTACAAAATAATGCATTTAAAAAGTTCAGCTTAGATAAAATAGTCTAAATCCATAAATTTTTTTTAACTGTAAATATGACTATCTTGGCTCAATATGCGTGGCTATCACCTAAATAAAGTGTGCATTAAATAAGGGTACAATTTTAATGTGTTCATTGCAAAGATGACAAACGTTGATTACGTACTGTAACCCCAGATTCTATGAGTATAGGTGCAGCCCTTTAAGGCTATCTCTACAGGGTTTATTCCTAGTCCATGCCCACGGGCTGTGTGGGCCCCACCCCCGGTCCATATAAATTACGGCGAGACGGGGCAATCGGCACCCAAATAGCTTTTTTTCTTAAGCCATTTAGGAACCAGTGAGGTCCAGAGTTTAAAGGGCTGCACCTATACTCATAGAATCTGGGGTTACAGTACATAACCAACGTTCTATTTCGTGTAGGCTTTGCCCTTTAAGGCTATCGCTAGTGGGTTAAAGGCGAAGCAGGATGTAGTCTATGCCTCACTGGGTCCATTCAGACACAAAATGAAGCACCTGCTTGCACAAAAAACATTTCATCACTCAGCCTTCTGTGTGCGGAATTACACACTCCATGCGCAGGAGCGCACCGGAGAAAAGATCTCTGGTGAGGAAAGGCTGAGATAACAGACCTGCTGCTGTGAATAGGAACAATGAAGATTACGAATTGTAACAGTGTAACGATGAACAGGGCAGGCCAACAGCTCCTCAGGATGAACTGATTAATAATAAAATCAGCAGTCATGAACTTGTGACTGATAATAAATATCTCACACTGCAACTGCATGTAGGCAGGTATGAGCTCAAAAGTGAGGCTCCATGAAACAAATAATATTCATTTTGTCAGAACCCTGAGAACAGAAAGGGTCATGGAGAAAGTAGAAACATCACGTAGAGAAAAACAAATAATTGAGCACGGCGATGACCAGGCAGCCGCCATACAAATATCCTCCACCGTTATCCCTCCATGCAGAGCCATAGAGGATGACAACCCTCTGGAGGAATGTGCCCTGAGATTCTCTGGAGGATCCAGTCCAGGTGAACTGTAAGCTTCAGAAATAGCCTCTCACAACCAGTGTGAGAGGCACTGGGTACATAGAGGGCGTCCTGAAGAGGTGTCCCTGTAATGCACGCACAGACGCTGAGAGCAGTGCAGTGCGGCCATGCGTGCCACGTAACACGAAAACTCGCACACGGAACAGAGGAGGTGAGATGTTGCTTCCTCCTCAGAATTATGAGGAGGAGGATAAAACCCATCCGTTATCACTCTTGATCTGAATGAGTTTGATGGTTTTTCAGAGCAGGCTTAAGATGCAGTACAGCTGAACTGCCGTCAGCTTGAATTCTGAGACATGAGGGAGCAACAGAGCAGATAAATCACTCATTCTCTTTGCCGACGTCAGAGCTAACAGCAGGGCTGTTTTAAGTGACAGAAATTAAATGAAACCTGATCTAAAGGCTCAAAAGGAACTTTGATCAAAGCGTGCAGGACCATCATTAAGTCCCACTGTGGAGTTAGTGGACGTGACACAGGTCTGTGTCTCCGTACACCTTTCCGAAAAACGCTTCATCAGCGGGTGGTTAAAAACTGTTCTGTCACCGAAAAACATTATGACAAGAAGAAATAGCTGCAGCATAAGTTTTAATTGTACTGAACGCTAAATTTCTGTCCATCAGTTGCTATAGAAATGACAGCACGCCACCTAGTGGACATGAGATGGCCTCCACGCCTTTCTCTGCGCACCAGTGCTGGAAAAACTGTCCACTTGATGTGTACAGTGCTGTGGTGGAAGCGGCTCGTGTGCCCTGAATCGTACGCACCACATCCTGTGGGAAGCCCATCTTTCCTAAACGGATCCGTTCAGCGGCCAGACCCAAAGGTTCTGACCTATTTCTGGGTAATTCCTGATCACTCTTCCCGTCTGCAGGAAAACGTCCTCCCTCCACGGCTGACCCAATATCAGTCACTGCAGATTCGGGAACCATGAAGCGCATATGTGCTCGGGAGTTACGAGGATGACTAAAAGTTCTTCCTCTCGGACCCGGTCCAGGGTCCATGATATCAGCAGGACTGGAGGGAACGCATAAAGGAGCATTTTTGGCCATGGGCTGTGAGCAAAGGCATCCACTCCTAATGATGGGTCGTCTCGTGGGCTCAGTAAGAACCATAATTGACACTGGGTATTCTCCTGTGTGGTAGACCGATCCACTGCTGCTCGGCCGAACCTGCTCCAAATACGAGAGATCAGCTCGGGATGAAGGCTCCAGTCTCTGTGGCGGGGACTGCCCCTCGACATTATGTCCGCTCCCCTGTTCAGGACGTCGGGAATGTACACTGTTCTGATGGAGAGCAGGTTTTTGTGTGCCCAACACAGCAGCTGTCTCGTGATGTGTAACAATTGGGTTGAGTGCACGCCTCCCTGACGGTTTATGTAAGCTGCCGTCACTTTGTTGTCTGTGTGGATCAGAACATGCAGATCCTGCAGCAGGGGGCAGGCTGAGTCACGTTTCAGACTGTGAAACATTCTAGCACATTTATGTGAAGCGACATGTGGTCCAGCCACTGTGTTCCCACTGCCTGGGACATACACGCGTCTGTGAAAACTGAGACGTGTGACGTAGGCCTGTTGATGGGAACTCCCTCTGACAGAATGAGGGGGTTTCCCCAGTGATTCAGATCAGTTCTCGGGATCTTTGGACGGGGGGAGTGTGCACAGAGATAATCCGCCTCTTCTGGCGCACAGGATCTATGCGCAGGCGGGCGAACCATCTCTGAAGGCGTCTCATATAAAGCAAGCCCAGCGGAACCACGACGTGGGCCGCTGACATCATCCCTCTCAGCTATCTCAGCTGTGATAAACGGGCTCTCGTGGTTGAGTTTAGCTCCACTCCTAGATAAACAATCATCTGAGATGCGAGAACGGAACTTTTTCCCAGTTTATAGAAAACCCCAGGTTTAGCAGGTGTAATGCTAGCGTTTTGGTCTGTGCGACTGCTTCCTATCTGGACTGAGCTAATAAAAGCAGATCGTCCAGATAAAAAAAAGAATTCTCATTCCTGCCATGTGTAATGACCGTAGAGCCATCTCCATGCATATTGAGAATGTGCGTGGGGTGAGGGAATAACCGAACGGTAGCCTGTCTTACTGATACGGAATCCCCTGGAGGAGAAACGCAGGAATTTCCTGTGTTTCAGGATGATGGAAATGTGAAAATATGCACCCTTCAGATCTATGACGGTAAACTAGTCATTCTGGTGAAGTTCTCCAGCAGCTATTTGATTGTCAGCATGTGGAATTTTCTCTCCATGATCCATTTGTTGAACATGGACAGGTCGAGAATGGGTCTCATCCCTCCATTTTTTTTCAGAACCAGGAGGTAGTGAGAGAAAAAAAAAAAAGTATTTTCCTCTCCATTGGGAGCTCTGGAAATCACATTTTACATCCGGAATTCCATAACTTCTGACTGGAGAGACGAGCTCTGTTTTGGAGAATACAGAACCATCTCTACAATCCCTCTGAACGATGGGGGTTGAGCTGCGAACTGCAGCGTGTAACCCCTGCTGATCAGACAGTCCGTCCATCTGTCCAGGGAACACACTCCTTGCCACTCTGAGTAACGCTCGGAGAGCAGGCACCCTAACAGTGCCTCTGGGGTGATGGGGCCTTCCAGCAGGTCTCTCTGCAGCCTCTTGGACAAGG